CGATTTTCACTGGAGAAAACTGGAATCGAGTATGTGTACGCACATGCATCTCAGTTTTCGCTAGGGAAAACTCGGATTCTAGTTTTGCCTAGCAAAATCTAGAATTTCACCGAATACCAGTTTTCGCTACAACATGTATACACCATAGGGAAACACAGATGAAATACAAAACATAAATTTTTTATATTTTACATCACAACGTTATTCATAAAAACTATAATTTTGATCTTCATTCTCTACAACGCCGTATTTCATTTCATTAGACGATGAAAATCTTTATCGGTACGTTCATTTGAATAGAACATATCGAGAAACAAGAGTATCATTGCTAGTTTTATGAGGCTGTTAGTATAAGAAAAAGGATTCTCATATGTCACTCTGTACCTCGAATTTAACGTTTTGTTAATTGTTAAACATTTGTTATTTCAACTTCACACTTTAGTCCTTGATAGATTGAGAATATTGAACATGAAGATATTTAGATGTCATATCTCATAGTTTCGAGTCACTTTTCTTGATATCGTAGAATTAACCCAGTCAATTGTATTTGACCTTTGTTTAAAAAATCAAAATGTTTGTACTGGAAGGTGATAAAGAAGTTTCTTAATGTAAGTCACTCAAATTATGCCGAAAGTTAAAAATAACCTGTCAAGATATCTGAAAAAAAATAAATGCAACATAGTTATCATACTTTTGTTCGTATACGTAAGATGTATGTCTCGCCTAAATGCATGATAATCTATGGGTGTCATGTCTATGATTTAATTATGTAGTTCATTAAACTTCATTGAAAAAGATATAGTTTGCTAAGCAAAAAAATATCTACTTTTTGTTATAAAATAGTAAGATGTAATAATTTGATGGGAGAAAAATGACAACCATTTATCAATGACTCGTTCTTCATTTTTTTTTTCGATGATGATAATATTTTCGGAGGGATAAATTATTTTTGTATTTGGTTGTGTAGCTAGAATAAAAAAAAAGTACATCGACGACAAGAGAAAATAAAATATCCACTTGACTATTTGTTTCTGTTTATGTACGTATGTATAAAATGTATAATAAAAAGCTTACCGTACAATTAGCGTATAATTTCTTTTGCATTCTACAACTTTATAAATCTGTTTATATAACAGACTTTAATTAATATTTTTTTCTCAATTCTATTGTGGTTTTTTCTCCTTCTTATAGTTTTTCTATCACTTAATATATTATCTAATTAAAATTTTTCATTTATTCAAATTATTATAGCATGAAGTCAGATATTATTCAACAAGTCCATCTTCAGCATACGAACGTTGATTAAATGAATAATTTACGTTGTTTTTTTTCAGGCGGTTCTGTTGAACAACGCTTAATACTTATCATACAGAATACATTCTAACGTTAAAATAACTTTATTTAGTCTTTTGGCAAAAACTTCATTTTTTGGTCTAATAAATGCGAAAAAATATATATTAATCAAAAACATAGGTGTATTTGCTATTATCTATGCAAACGTTGGGTAATGTAGAGGAGGGATTATTAAATTTTTAATCATCATGTTGTCTCAAAGTAGTGCAATACGATAAACGTTGTTTGAATAGTTGACAGTTTTGTCAAAAGTATTTTTATCTTGTAGAGAAAAATATCTTACGGCGTCCTGATTACTTTATTGTACTCTCTATGCTTTAGACTTGATAAACAAACTTTCTTAAATCGATTTTACCGTCAAGAAGTAAAATGTTCTACAACTGAAAATCATCGACAACAGACTGAGGACAAGTTCAATTTCTAACGTTCTTGATGATTGATCGAGAGATATGCTAAGTTTCAGTTTTTTTCTTGACCGGAAATTGGTTACTAGTTACCATTCGAAAGAACTAAACTGGAACTCGGGTAATAGTAAAACATGAAGACACCCACAGACAACACACAGACACCCACAGACAGCCACAGACAGCACACATACAACCACAGACAGCTACACAGACATCCATGGATGTCTGTGTAGCTGTCTGTGGCTGTCTGTGGCTGTCTGTGGTTGTATGTGTGCTGTCTGTGGCTGTCTGTGGTTGTATGTGTGCTGTCTGTGCAGCTGTCTGTGGGTGTCTTCATGTTTTACTATTACCCACAGGAACTCTCATACTCCGATAAACGAAGGCCGAATTTTGAAGGTTTTATTTGCTGAGAGTATTCATTTTCATTTCTCTAGCGTTAGTAAAACATTCGCACTGATAATCAGTGATAAAATTGTACTATGTATAAGCCATCAAAAATAATTAATGCATCCATCACAGTTACTGACTGTGATTGTCAAAATTAGATACAAATTCATCAATTCCACAATAAGCTGTGAGAATTAAAACAGACAGAACCAATTCTTCTTGCTGATTTGATAAAAAAATCATTTTTAAACCCTGTGCATGTAAATATCTTCTCCCGTTTGCACTTTTGAAGATCAATATAGTTTTGGACTGTTATAATAGAAGTCTGAGATAATTTGAGTCAACAAGTCAACGAATGCACCTATAAAACTCTTTTTTTTGCTATGAATTGTACACATATTTTGAAAATATTATATAATGTTTCAAACGTGCCGTCTACGAGGGTACATTAAGCATTCGCGAAACGTATTCAGTTTATTTTAGCTTACTTCTGAGAAAATATAAGCAAAGAAATATGTATTATTTAGTATTTCTTTGAATTAACTCCCAAGAAATCCTGTAGAGGGACAAGATACTTCAAACATTTTGTACAATTTCCATGAAGGATGCGTATAAGCTTCTTGAGTCAGGCCACTCTATCGTCGAATATATTTTTCGATATTCCGGTCTTATGGAATTTTCTCGAGAAAATTTTCGATTTTTTAAGTAAAATTTTTAGTTTATTATATAGATATGTACGTGCTGTTGCAAAATAAAAAAGGTAAATGAAAAGAAAATAGGGTACGTTCGATCGGTCACGTAGTAGCATATGCCGTCGACAACATAGTATAAGGCGTAACAAATGTATCTTCTGTAGATAAACTATTGAATGTGTTCTGCTATAAGACACTGGTTAATGCGACACATTTCAAGGTATATCTCATGTACCATCATGTGTGACATTTACAAAAGTGTTTACGTGCACGACATATTCCTATCACGTTATTTGAAATGTGTCCTTTGACTCAGCACAATCTGAACGCCACACATTGTGGAGTACATTCCTTTTAAAACGTATGTCAAATGGAATATATAGTCAACGGTAAGATTTGTTAAACTGATGTAATTGGAAAATAATGATTGACTTGTAGAAGTGTGCAAGGTAGAAAGTACAACAATCGATCTTCAATTCCATGGTTTATTTTATTCAAAGATGAGTGTATTACACGGCTCGTAAAAATATTTGAAAACAAGGTGATTTTACAACAACGTCTGAAATATCACAAATATCAAATACAAATATTATAAATAATACGTCGAAACCAAACAATTTACATAACGGTTGTTTCATAACATTGAACTATGATCTGATCATGAAACACGGATAATAAAAGACATACTCAAAATGAGTTTTTAGTTGAGGTTTTTAGTTGATTGACAGTCGAACTAACAGTGATTATTCCTGTCAATAAATTTTTGGATACATCTTCAGCTCACACATTTCAGATAACTACAAGTAGAACGAAGTTGTCTTTATCATATACGAGTAGAATTATATTTTTATTCCCATTTGATCAAGGTTAGTTTTTCCTATTCTGATTAGAATAGTCAATATTGTTGACATTTTACATATTCTGAAAGGCATTTTTGTTTGTGTTTAATTTTAAAGGCTGTTAGAGTTTATTATATCTTTTATTTCGGTTCTAGTTTTGTGTCAGTTCGTTATTTCAGATGCCTGGATATTTTATAAACGAAATATCAAATTGTGTTGATGAATCATTGATCGGCTATGTTCGTGCCAATAGTCATTTGGAACTGGCTGGAAGGGCTGTCATTGCACGCTCTCAAATCCCGAGAACAGCAATAATTAGTGGTGGAGGAAGTGGACATGAACCGGCTATGGTTGGTTATGTGGGTATGTGTGAAAAAAATGAATATCCATTTTCGAAAATGACAGAAGTTTTTGAAGAGTTGGATATATAAATCTGTTGTTGTACTTTGACTGATAAAATCAAATATTTATGCATTCCAGGTCGTGGTATGTTGGCAGCGGCTGTTTGTGGATCGATCTTTGCAAGTCCACCATCGTCGGATATATTTCGTACAATTGTAGAACTGAAACGTCGTGGTGCTCAATCGATTTTGTTAATTATACTAAACTATACTGGAGATCGCCTCAATTTTGGATTAGCAATGGAGCGAGCCCGAGAATTAGGTATCGACATTGACATGTTAGTTGTAGCCGATGATGCAGCTGTTGATCATGCTATTGGGTAAGACATTGATTAGTAAATAATGAAAGAGACCTTCAGCTTCTATTTACTTCTAGACCACGCGGTTTATGTGGAACATTAATTGTCATCAAAATAGCTGGTGCATTAGCTGAAAAAGGAGAGTCGATGCCTGAAATTGTCGATTTTTGTCAAAAAGTCCGTGGAAATTTACGTACAATTGGTTTATCAGCGTCTGGTATTTGTGCTCCTGGACAATCACAATCATTTCAGGTAATCTTAAAATACATTTCATAAGATTAGGATTGAAATAGATATGAATAAAAATGAATATGTCATGTTGAATTGTCCTTTTTCTTTTGTTTAGTTAGCTGATGACGAGATGGAATTAGGACTTGGTATCCATGGTGAATCGGGTGCCCAAAAACTCAAACTATTGCCATCTAAACAAGCTATTGATCTCGCATTTGGACAACTGGTACGAGGAACACGTTCACTTGATGTCAGACGCGATGATAATGTTTTCTTATTAGTTAATAATTTGGGTAAGATAATTTTATATTGATTAATTACTAATTTTATTAAAAGAAATGTTCTATCTTTAGGAGGATGTTCAAATTTGGAATTAGGTATTATTTTAAAAGATGCTATTGAAAATTTAGAACATCGTGGTTTACATGTAAAACGTGTACTTTGTGGTGAATTAATGTCATCTTTTAATATGAAAGGCTTTTCATTGACTGTATTAAAACTTGCCAATAACATAATATCATCCATATTTGAATTAATTGATTCTCCAACAGACGCCTATGCATGGCCAAAAACAGTTAGTGGTTTAAACATCCCGAAGACTTGTTAGAATTTTTCATTTGTTTATAGATTAGTAATATACAATTATCCAATAGTATACAACCTTTATCAGATTCATTAGAATTCAACGATCAATTCAGTTCACAGTTAGTTAGTATTAAGTAAGTTAAATTGTTTTCAAGCGTTACGTAGTGAAGATATTGTTAGACATTAAGTATCACATGTTTTATCTTCCCATCGGGAAAGAACCAAATTGATTTTTCTGCTAATCATGCCTTTCTAAATATTTAAATTCAAAAATTTTCTAATTGATTGTTTTACTTTTTAGTGAACCACAAATGGTCTTAAATCAATCTCAAGCTGAATTAGTACAACAAGCACTACAATTAGTTGTCAAACGACTACTCAGTGAAGCAGATAGATTGAATAAAATTGATGCTGTTAGCGGTGATGGTGACACCGGAGCAGCATTCGCAAGAGCAGCCGAAGCTATTAATCGCGATCTCAGCAATAGTAGACTAGTGGTCAGTCGACCATCAGCATTCTTTCGTCGGCTTGGTCTTATCGCGGAAGCCAAGATGGGCGGAACATGTGGTGCTATCTGCGGACTCTTTTGTAAACTTAATTTTCAAAAATTTCTGCTCATTTAAATAATTAATTATTGTTTTTCTTTAGTCGCTGCTACTGCTAAATATATTTCAGTTTCCGGTCGTCAAGGTAAAATAATTGAAATTATTTGTAATGCATTCGAGAATGGAATTCAGTCTGTTGAAAGTTACGCGAGAGTTCAACCAGGTACCAGTTTACTGTTACTTATTTTCAATAGCAATAGTAAATATCTCTTTTTTTTATTTCTCTAGGAGATAAATCACTGTTAGATGCTCTTATACCAGCCGTTGATTTTATCAGTCAAAGTACAACAACAGATTTATATATCCAACTCTTCAAAAACTTCTGTCATTTTCGAAAATGGATATTCATTTTTTTTCACAC